ACACACACACACACACACACACACACACACACACACACACACACACAAAACAGAACAACTGGAAGTTAATTTACCTCCACCTCCATGCCCTGCATGAAGAACTTGCAGTTCCTCTTGCTCTAATGAGGAATGTTCTTGAGTCAGCTCACAGTTGTCACTGGCTGCAGCAGAGTTCACGATCTCTATGTCAGAACCCTAGGGGAAAGTGGTAATTATTAGATATTCCTCCCTTCAGCTGGATTTGATGATATGTAGAAAGTTCCTGACGCTACCACACTCTAAACAAAATCTATCCTGGCTGGCTTTGGTCAACTCATTCCATACAGGCCTGCAGGAGGGAAACTGCAGAATGAAGCCATGGGCTTCAAGCCAATGTCAGGTGAACACAAGATGACTGGACTATTTTATGAGGCCAAAAGCCAAACTCTGAGTCCTAAGTGTCTGCACTTAGGAGAGCTGGCTCAAGAGTTAAGAGCACCTGTGCTTGCAGAGGACCCAGGTTTGATTTCCAGCACCCACATGGTAGCTCACAACTGTAACTCCAGTCCCAAGAAAAGCAACACCCTGTTCTAGCATCCTCAAACAATACATGCACATGGTATATGAGGTCAAAGGACAACTTCTAGAGTGGGCTTTCTCCTTCTACCATGTGGATCCCAAGGAGCCAATTCCACATGTCAGGCCTGCAGAGCACCTGAGCCACGTCACTGGCCTATTCTCATTGATGCTATTTTGTGAACGACATGACTAACTGTTCTATACCCTCAATTATCACAATAATTATTTCTATATATACCATCAGGCACCAGCATCAGTCAGGCTGATGGTAAATGCTCATAATTCAAGCACTTTGGAGGTGGGGCAGAGACTTCCATTTGGAGGGCAGCAAGGGCTACATAGTGAGTTTGGGGCACACTGGGATACAGTGAGACCCTGTCTCAATTAAAAAAAAAAAAATTCACTGATGAAGCAAAATTTATAAAAACCTAAACACATATGGGAACTTTTGATGAGACTACTCAAACTCTGAACAAGTGAAGCTGCTCTGACGCTAGGGTTTCTGTTCCTATGGACTTTTCTATAATGAAAACAATCACCAATGTGAGAAAATCAGCATCTACACTGTTCTGGTTACAGAATTCACTGTATGAGCATTGTTTCTCATTACAAAACTGGTTTTATGACCATGGTCAAAGCAGCCTGCACTACGTAGTAAGCTCCATCCCAGCCACACCTAAACCCTCCAAAAACAGTAACAAAAACTGAAGGCTGAAAGGCTGGAGAGATGGCTCAGAGGTTTAGAATGTCGGCTGCTCTTCCAGAGACCCAGGTTCAGTTCCCAGCACCCACCTGATGGCTCACAACCATCTCTATCTCCAGCTGTTGGGATAACCTACACATATTGTATTAGCTGGCTAGAAAGGGATGCGCCATTATTTTCAATTGTTAATTGCTGTACCAGACTAGCAGGTACAGCAGGAGATGTAAATGTTTGTCACTTCCTAACCTTCCCAAAAAAGAAAAGGCACGTGGCCATGGGGCAGGCACTTTTCATGTAACCGTCAATCTGGCCGAAAGATAGCACTACGGAGCATGGTCCGCCTGCTGACTGGTTCAGAATGAGTGGCTGTGAAATCTCTCCCACTGTGCTAATAGTTTTTTCTATGGCATTTGAGCTGTCGGCTAGAGTTGGTGAAGTAAGAAGGAGAGAGGCAGAGAGATGAGAACATGACCAGAGAAGAGCAGGGAGATCTGTGTGGTGGAGACATAGTGGCAGGGAGTCAGGTTAAGTTAGATGGCTCGCTGAGAGACTGCCCCAGCCTTCTCCTGTACAGATGTCTCCAGGTCTTTACTGTTAAACCCCAAGCGGGAACCCCAAAAGCTCCTGCAATATCCAGTCCCAGAGAATATGACACCATCCTCTGGCCTCCAAGAGCACTATATACACATGGTACACATACCTACCAACATTCAGGCAAAACACTCATAACACATTTAAAAACCAAGAAAAGAAGAGGAAGACGACCACCAGGCACACGGCACCTTGAATTCCAGTGCTCAGAAAGTGAGGCAGGAGGATCAAAAGCTGGAGGTTAAGCCTGGGCTGTGTGGAAATTTAAAGGCAATCCTTGTTACACAGTAAGAGGCTGACCTTCCCTCCACTCCCTCCCACCCCCAAAAAAGAGAATGTACCACAAAGAAAGTCTTTTAATATTACGTAAGAACTCCAGGGAGGTGCTAACAGGTGGATCTGTGAGTTCAAGGCCAGCCTGGTCTACAAAGCAAGTCCAGGACAGCCAAGGCTACACAGAGAAACCCTGTCTCGGGGGGGGGGGGGGATTACAGAAGAATGTAGCTGTAATGGGCAAAGCCTGACAATTAACAAGGCCAGCCCCTCTAAGTTAAGGAAGTCAGCAAGAATAATGTAGAAGATGCAGGCTACAGTTTCAGCAGGACCCAAATTCCTGAATGCTACTCTCTGGAGAACTTCACACCTCCCGATTATGAACAACCACTGTCCTCCACACATGTAAATCTAATGTATACTTTTCCTTAATAAATTCTGCACTGCATGTGAAGGGGGGTGGATATGGTCCACACCTCCAGCACCCCATTCCTGGGAGGCTGAGGCAGAAACTTTGCTTTGAGTTTCAGGCCGGCCTACATGACAGAATGAGACTATCTCAAAAACAAAACAAAACAAAACAAAGCCAACCATACTAGCACATACCTATAATCCCAGAACCTGGAAGGACTGTTGTGAATTTGAGGTAGCTTGGGCCAGCCAGGGCTACACAGTGAGACTGTAATGTCTCCAAACAAAGCAGACCAGCTCCTTCTCAAAAACAAAAACAAAACAAAAAACCCTAGATGTGCCAGCAGAGGCCTGTCAGCCCAACTCAAGGAGGCTAAGACAAAAGGATCTCAAGTTTAAGATGATCAGCCTGAGTTGCACAGACTCCAAGGCCACCTAGAGCAACTTATTATTTGAGACCCCATCTCAAAGTTTTGCTTTGTTTACAAAGAGAGGGAGACAGAGACAGACAAACTAGAAATGTATGTAGCTCAATGGTATTTTAGCAGACAAGTTTAATATGGATGGGAAACAGCCCAACTACAAAGGAAGCCAGAGCTTACATGCAGAAAGCACTCAACTTCATAAAGCAGTTTTTGTCACTACTAACAAATAATATGTATAATATGTATCAGAGAACATACCTCATGACTGATGACAGTCCAGCCACAAGATGAGTCACTGTCGCTGGAATTTTCAGACATTTTTCAGATCTGTAATACAAGAACATAGAGTGAAACATGGGACACTTTTTTTTTTTTTTTTAAAGCTCCATATGACAACCCACAGGTTTTCCACACAGGGCATACGGCCCCACAGCTTTAAGCTAAGATGTGGGGTCCCCTCTGAGCTACGGCCACCGGCACAGCTGTGCTGCTGCAACCCACGTTAGTTAGATCTGAAAGGCAAAGTGTACCTGGAATCCTGCTGGCATAGGGAAGGGGACCAGATAGCAGCAGAGTCTACTTTCAGCCAACAGCGAGGTGGGAAAAGCCCGGAAGAGGCCAAGCTCTCATGTACTGACAACAACAACAACAACAAAAAAAAAAAAAAAAAAAAAAGATGAGCAAAAGATTTTATTAAAATAACTATTAGCAATACCTCAACTGGAATTCTTTTAAAGGATGAGGGAAATCAGAATGTAAGAAAACTTCTGGTTTCTTTAAAAACAGAAATGCTACAGGTGTACTTTTCATTTTAATCCCAGGTATAGGATACGGGGCTGCTTTATAGTGGCCACAGCAGCGGGCTACGATTTGTCTTGTGCTCCAGGAGGGGTGTGATTTTGCCAGCTGAGGGCAGTTTACATTGGAAATTCTGGGGACTCTTGAGGAGGGTATAACTTCTGGACCCCTGAGAGGGCCTGCGGAGGCTACTGCTGCTGATGACTGCTGTTTGGAGATCCTGACAACAAAGATCAGACTTGCCCTAAGGAACTCAATGCCCCTAATCAGCAGGAAATAGTCCTCTCGAACCTTTCTCTCCTAGTGTTGGGGGAGGGAGGTTGAAAGGGTTGAGGTAGGGTAGGGGGTAAGAAAAAGAACCCAATAAAGTAGTCAAAAGCCTGGCCACATCATAAATTGGTTCAAAATTTAGGGCAGTGAGAATGACCTCACTCTGTCCTGAAGCAACACCTTGCTCAGCCAGGTCTCTCTTCCCTCTGGAAAGCCTTTTTACATCACCCCATACCAGCTCGCCCAGGCTAGCCTTGAACTCTCAACTTCTCTACCTCTGCCTCCAGAATGCTAGGATTACCCACCTCATTAACGAGCTTCTGGCACTGCACAGATACTATGTCCCACAACCTAAGGCTGTGGTTCCAACAGAACTGTATCCAGAAGCTGGGACACAGCTCAGCTGGTAACATGCCGAGCCAGGTCTCATTTCCACCACCATGTGAACTAAGTATGCTGACACCCACCTGCAATCCTAGCAGAAAGAATCAGAAGTTCAAGGTCACTCTTGGCTACACGGTAAGTTCCAGGCCAACCTGGTATGGAAGACACTCTCACAAGTCAGAAGTCGCCCCACCCTCTGTTCAGTTCTAAGAATAACTAGTCTGCAATGACCTTCCCAAGACTGGACAGTACGTGGCACCACTCAATCTCAAGACTCAGCACTAGGAAAGCTGGGGTAGGAGGGCTTCCAACTGTAAGCCAGCCTAGGACAAACAGCAAGATACTCTAAAAGGGGAAAGGGAGGAGGGGCAGAGAAAGAGTGAAAGGCAGGAGGGAGGGAGGGAGGGAGCTCCCTTAACTGTCAGCGTCCATAAATTCCCTTCATTTTCTGAGAGTTTCGAGGGTAGAAGACATTCCTTCTATGTACCATTCTTCATAAGAACTGTTCTGTGACAGGTGTAGTGTCTCCCCCCAACAATCCCAGGACTTGGGCTCTACAGTAAGACTTGTCCCAAAGGAAAGAAAAACGTGTCCTATAAGGGTTAACTCAAGGGCTGCTGGGCCTAGTGACACATGACTTTAATCCCAGCACTTGGGAGGCAGAGAAAAGAGGATCTCTGAGTTCAAAGCCAGCCTGGCACACATAGTGAGTTCCAGAACAGCCAGAGCTACACACTGAGACCCTGTCTTTGAAAATCAAACCAACTAAACAGCCAAATTACCTGGTGTGATGACGCCCTACATTGTTCCTAAGAAGCTACATTTTACTATGAAGAAGGCAGGGTTCCCATCTCCTTATCTTCTAGAATTAGACATGAGGGAGAAGAATGGGGGCACTGTTATCTCACAATTCTGTGATTCCAAGCAGACCACAGACTGAGAGAAAAGCCAAGTGCTGCTGGGCTGTTCATAAAGAACCCACCTGACCACTGTTCAGAATCTGACTGTAAGCATAGGCAGTTTAAGGCTAGCTGAGGCTACAGGTTTACGATCAGCCTGAGCAGTTTCCCTTTTAGAGTTCTTTAAATATTTTTGTATGTGTGTTTTTACTGCAAGTATGTGTGTGTATCACCTGCAGGCTTGGTGCCCATGTAGGTCAAAAGGTGTTGGATTTCCTAGAACTGACTTACAGATGGTTGTGAGCACCATATGGGTACTGGGACTAAACCGGGGTCCTCTCCAAGAACAGCAAGAGCTCTCAACCACTGAGAAGTTGCTCTAGCTCCTCCTCTTTACGTTTTTCATACATTACTTTACGGGCTAATAAAAGTAAGGTTGTGATATAATTTAGTGATAGAGCAACTGCTTCAAATGCATCTGACACTGGGTTCAATCCGATTCATTCTGAACATTCAAAATAGAAATATTTTGGTGGGAGGTGGTTGAGATGTGTGTTACTGTGTAGCCATAGCTGGCCTACAACTTGCTATAGACACTAAATTAGCCTAGCATGGTGGCGGGGCCTGTTCCCCAGCTCTGTCCCCACCATAAGTGAGAAGACAGACTAGGAGACTAGCCTGAGTTTGGGCCTGAGACTCTGAGTCAAAAACCCAAAGCAAGAAAGAAGTAAAAATAAAGAAAATGGGGGTGTTCATCATCACACCCACAATCTATGAGCCTGTTTTTCAGTGCTGGAGAGTTAAACCTAAGGCCTTCCTTAAACATATTACGTAAGCACTTTACCACTTACTCACTGGCTCGTTTTAAGCACAGTGAAAGCCAAATCCAATCATCTCTAAGAAGAGTAGTTTCTTCCCAGAAAGTTAAAGACACTAACATGCTGCCTAAAAGTGTTAACTATTGGATGTTTGAGTGAGTTGAGTCCACACAATACAAGATCTAAGGTCCTCTGTAGTCTTTGATTATAGTAATCCTCTTGGTAAGTGCAAAGACAACCTCTCTGCAAAAAGCAGACTCTGCTAGTTGAAATGACGTAGGAAAATACTGTCACTAAAAATAATGTAAGCCAGGCATGCATGGCACACTATAATCCTAGCACTCAGGAAAGCAGAGGCAGTAAGATTACCCACAAGCTCCAGGCAAGCCTGACTACAAAGTAAAATCCTGTCTCAGTGCAAAAAAAAAAAAAAAAAAAAAAAAGGAATAAATACACTCTATCCATGTACTGCTGCTACATACAACTTTTCATCTAGAACATGAGTTCTGCAAGAGAAGTGAGGCAATTACTGACCATTACTTTGTAAGTTTCCTACTATGATGTAACACTCTGCAAATCAGGAAGCAAAAACCACTCTCAGATATCTGAAGAAAACAGCCTCAATCTAAAGCCACATCATTTTTGAAAGAAAACCATGACTCAAACACTAAGAGGAAATTACCTATAGCACAAAGGTCCTCCTTTCATTAGCTGTTTGCAGTCTTATAATACACACTGATGGTCCAGGGTTGTAATGGCTCAATTTGGAAAAAGCCTAAAAGAGCTAACAAATGAAGCTGAAGAGACGATCAGTACTGTTCTTCCAGAGGACCCAAATTCAGTCCCCAGCATCCACACTGGGTGACTCACAAAAACTGCTTCTGCGCTAGCTTCTGGGGGATCCAATGCCTCTAGTGTCCATGGGTAGGGAACGCACCTGCACACACCCAGACACAGGGATACACATAGGAAAAAAAGAAAATAAAATACATCTTTTTTTTTCTTCAAGTTAACAAATACCTAAGATGGGCAGGGGGAGTCCAGGGGGACTTCATCATTTTACAAATCTATCTGGTTCTGGCTTTGCTTCCTATCTTAATAGCATTCTCTCCCTCCACCTCACTTCCTCTTTCTCCCTCACGAACACAATAGTCTCTCTCACACAAACTAAATTTCTTAGTTTCTAAAGTTCTTCTAAATGTTCTTCTCACAGAAAAGATAATTTACTTTAATTTCCTCAGTTATCATTCCTGATGACTAAAAGAAAAGCTAGTAATACATACACATTCCTGTTGCTGTTTGCTAGTGTTTCTACGTGATGACAGGGGAAGAGACCACACTGTCATCCACCTGCACTCAGGGATGATGTGGATACTCCTCAGCTATCCACTGATTTCAACAGCGGACACTGCAACCACAGTTCATTTCACACATCTGTTTACCTTCACTGTCACATACCTGTGTTACTCAGATAAAGCCTTTCAAATGAACTAAGACATTTCTAAAACATTTCTTTACATTCATGTTCTTGGTCAACCTAACTTGAGGTCAACCTTAGAGCCAGATGCTAACAGCAGTAGCTGACTTTCCCAGGAGGAGGCGTCTCCACCCCACCCAGGGCTCTGGCATCTGTTAGAAGGATTTCAGACTCAGTATGGTCTCGCTGCTTCAGAGGGCAACATTAAAAGAAGCCACTTCATAGGAAATCAAACTAAAGACCTCTAATAGGTGTAAATGTGAGACCAAGACAAACATAAAAGGCCTCACCACAGGGGCACTCACTGTCTTACAATTCCAGGTCTTTTAATACAGAAGAGCAAAGTCACAGTGAGGAAGCGAACCAGCTGGTCATCAAACCAGAACATACCACCCAGCTCTACCAAGAAGCCAAATGAAGCCTTGGATATTTCTTCACCAAAATTAAGCACCAAAAAATACACAAAGCTTGCCATCACTCCCAACGGGGACTGTTTCACATGTCACTTACAAAGGCTAATAATGTAACACAGAAATAAACCTGTCATGATTTCAATTGTATACCCAAGTCCATCTTCACAAAGCCACGTTGAAGGTGAACAGCTGTTATTTCCAACCCTCCAAAGGAAAGCCTTTGAAGCTCAGTTACACTAGTCACTGTTTACCTCTGCAAGGCTCTCTGGAGCTCATAGGCAATATGAATTCAAGCAAGAGGTGAGTAGCTCAGTGACAAGCACTAAGAAAAATTAGATGAAACTAGAGAGATGGCTTAGTGGTTAAGAGCACTAGTTGCTCTTGCAGAGGAACTGGTTCAAATTCCGGTACAGCACAGCAGCTCACAACCGTCTGTAACTCCAGTTTCAGGAGATCTGATGCCCTCTTCTGGCACAGATGTACATGTAAGCAAAACACCCCATACACATAAAAATATTTTTAAAAAAAGAATAAGAAAATTAGACTTTATTCTCAAAACTGCAACTCATGTTACTTTCTCAAGCTTCCACAGAAAACCCTACTGACTCTTCAATGACTTTTCACACATTTAATACCCTTCCTAAAAACCTAAATGAAACAAAACAAAGAACAACAAAAATGCTAAATATATTAGTTACATGGGATCCTTATGTATTACAGGACTAAACTCTGTCTCTGAACCTTTAATCCCAGCACTTAGGAGTCAGAAGCAGGCAGATCTCTGAGTTCAGCCTGGTCTACAAAGTGAGTCCACGACAGCCAAGGCTATACTGAGAAACCCTGTGTCTAAAGACAAAAGCAAAACAAAGTTAAGATGCTTTTTATTCTTTCCAGATAACTAATTTGTCTTTTGTCCCTTCTCCCAAAATTTATTTCCATTTAAAGTCATATATAGTTTGTGAATTTAGTATAACAAGGATTGTAGTTTGGTTTCTTCTGTTGTCACTCCGACGTATGTTTTGTTTTTTGTTTTCTTCCTGATTTGGTTTTTGAGGTAAGGTCTGACCCTGAAAACCCAGGCCTGCCTCCTCAGCGCTGCAATCACAGGTGTTCACCACCTGCCCAACTACCCTGCTTGGACTCTGCCACTTTGTCTTTTTATGAAACTGGATCTTGCTATGTAGCCCAGACCGGCCTTAAAACTTCAAATGTTCTGCCTAGGCCTCCTAAACTAGGTTATAGACCTAGGCTACCATATCAGCTTGTTTATTTACTTTTAAATTTTGAGCCCAAAGCCAGCACCCCCACTTCTCCAAGTCTGTGCGGATGTGTGTGGAGGTCAGTGGAGAAATTCATGGGAGTCAGTTGTCTCTACCTTGTGGGTTCCAGAGAAGAACCTCAGATGGCAGACTTGCTCAGCAAGCACCCTGACCCACTGAGACATCTTGCCAGCCCATTTACTTTTGAAAGTTATACTTAAAGAATCCAGAGATAATAAAGGCAAGAGTATTAAGAATTCAAGGCTACCTAGCCAATTGGCAGCTGCTCTGGGCTATATGAGACACTGCCTTTAAAGTTTCCAGGACTAAAGAAATAGCTCAGTGGTTGAAAGCAAGGGCTAAGAATACAGTTCCCAGCACCCACAACAGATGTCACTCTTCTGGCCTCCACTGCATGCGCATGCTGTCCTTAAACGACAGCAGGCAAAACACACAAAAATTAGTCTTTAAAAAAGATGCCATCGGTGGGGGGAAGTGGCTACACCACCCCCTCCCTCAGAAAGATGTCACCTAGGTAATCACATCCTAGATAACCCCTTTATTAAAAAAAGGTTTATTTACTTTATTATGTATACAGTGCTCGGCCTGCAGGCCCCACAAGAGGGCACCAGATCTTATTACAGATGGTTGTGAGCCACCATGTGGTTGCTGGGAATTGAACTCAAGACCTTTGAAGAGCAGACAGTGCTCTTAACCTCTGAGCCATCTCTCCAGACCCCTAGATAATCACTTTCTTAGCTAAATATTCTCTGAACTCTATTTTCAATGAAAATATAACTGTCTGCTTGATTTAGAGTACAAAACTGGTTCTATGGTTTGTTTTTGATCATCCTGAAGACTGAACCCGCACCCAGGGCCTCACATACATTAAGCACTGCATTCTCAGACCTTTTTATACGGGAATATGGCCTCACTATATTGGCCAGGTTGGTCTCAAACTTGACATCCTTCTGCTTCTAATTCTAAATGTCTGGGGTGCCACACCTGACTGGAATTCCAACTTTAATGGAACACGATTAAAACAGCATTTACAGCGGGGCTTGGTGGTACTCAACTATGATCACAATGATTAGGAGGCTTAAGCAAAGAACTCCCAGGTCTAACCTGGACTCTTTTAAGTAGAACCAGGACAGTCAGAGAACTACAAAACAAGAAAAAATGCCGAAAGCATTTATGAGCATTAACTCGCCTCATAACCTCCTCAGTTCCTCTGTGACTTTAGCTTGTCAGAATGGTAAACTATTCACACCAGCTATATGTGATAAACATCCCCCGAGAAATCTGAGGCCTATTAAAATTGGGACCTAAAAGTTGGTTGGTGCACTCAGAAGGCAGAGGCAAGGGGATTTCTGGGTCTGAGGCCAGTTAGGCCTACTGAGCTACACAGAAAAACCCTACCTCAAAAAACCAATCAACCAACCAACCAACCAACCTCAAAACCAAACAAACAAAAAACAAAAGAAAGAAAAACAACTGGGATTCTAAGCCTGGACAGACAGTGCTTATATTTCAAGCATTACGTGACCTTGCTGTAAGACTGCAAAGCACTCCTAGTCGAGAGTAATAAACTGGTTGCCCATTCTGGGTACAAGCAGCTCCATATGCTTAATAAAGCAAAAGCAGGATAGAATGGTGAGTGCTTGGTTCACCCCACAACAAAACAACCCAGCCGGCTGAGATCTAGAACTCCGGCGCTGCTCCTGGCAGAGTTGGGACAAAAGAAAGGTTAACGCGACCGGTGAACACGCAGCTGCTACTTAGGACAAGCCCGAGATCTTGACCAACGATGGGGAGGCCTTGGAGGGGAAGGGTGAAGAACAGGAGGAGAAAAGGGAAGGGGCAATGGTGAAACAGCTTCGGGGCTGCGCGGGAGCGAACCTCTGCGCTGCGCGCTGGCACTTTTCTATTTCTGACACCCGGGACCTCGGCGCGGCCGCAGGGTGACGCACGGCATCTCAGCACAGGGATGCAGCCGCACCGGAATCCCAGTGCGCCCAGCTCGGAGCTTGCGGGGCTGCCCGCGAGCCCGCGCCTCACACCCGCCAGGTCGCGCCCTCCACCCGAGGTCGCAGCAGCGCGGGAGGACCGAGGTGCCCACCAGGAGACAGCCTCCTGGCACTGTGTCCGAGCGAGTTGCAACCCGTCCCGTCCGCCCGCCCCGCGCCCCGGGGGGCCTACCCGACGGCACCGCCTCCTCCGCCCGACCGCGCCGGTTGTCACCGTGGCGGCGTCCGAGCTCCAGACGCCAGTGACGCCTCATAAAAACAACCTGCTCGCGGGCGTCTGCAGCGGGGAAGTGGCGGCTGGCGCGGCGCCGCGGGGGATGCCGGGACTTGGAGTTTCTGCTAAGCCTCCCGCCAACCAGCGGCGGGAGAAAAAAACTACGATTCCCAAAAACACATGCGGCCCGCCGCTTGGAGGCTGCCGGAAGCTGGGCGGGGCGACCGCGGATCCCCACAACATCCGGGCTCCCACGCCTGCAGCCGGTTGTCATGGAGACAGGGTGACACACTGGAAGAGGGTTTCCACCTACCCTCTCACTCCCCAGATCTGTCGGGTTTAGGAGACGAGGGTCGCCTGGCTTCGTCCTCGCTGCTGCTTTCTGTCGGTTCGGTGAGAAGACCGGACCCTGCGCCCTCGGCAGCCTTCTCGCTATCAAGAAAGAACTGCTTTTGCCGAAGAGATGGAGGGGAAGGAGAAAAAGATCGACTCTGACTTGGTGGGTTTGGGCGGAGGGCTTTTGAAAGTCGAAGTGTTTTAGGCACCATCTACTCCCACTAACGAAGTAACCTAGTTAGTCATGAAGCTTTTACATTTACAACTGTAAGTGCATAATCCACTAAAATTATTGCTGTGAAGGTATAAAGGCAGCACCTCAATGCAAACTGTCTGGTGATGGTTTTGACCAGGATGGTTTTTATTTTGCGTATCTATTTGCAGAGGTAGAGCTCGAACCCAGGACCTTGTGCATGGTAGGCAACCGCCTTACTCCTGAGCTACACTTCCCAGCTGTAGTACCTTCATTTTTATGTCTTTTATAGTATGCCTTGTGTAAAAGGATGGGAGAGGGGGAAACACAGTGCACTCACACCAGAGAAAAGTTAACTTTACCCTGTCCCCAACATGGGTAATGAGTAAATTCTAAAGGAAAACATTCAAAAATCTGATGTTGGGCAAAAGCTGGTTTCACAGTTAGATCTGATGTTTGTGTTGCTATAACCAGGGATTAAAACACAAGTCTCACACATGCTAGGAAAGCACTCTATGGAGGAGGAATAGTTGGGTGAGAGGGGAATTTGGGGTGGTGGTTTTTTGAGACAGAGCCTTTCAGAGTAGCTCAGGCTGACTTCAAATTTTCTGTGTAGCCGGCATTGAACACCAGAACCTCTTGCCTCTGCTTCCCAAGTATTGGGATTACAGACCTAAGCCATCACACTCTGCTCTTAGAACTCCTTGAATGGGCTAAAATTCAAATAACAAAGCTGCTTTTACGGTGAGTGGGGATAAAGTGGTTCTTACTTTGGTTGTGTACAAACATCTTCAGTTACCCAAAGATGTAAAGAGATAGCATCACACCCCCCCCCCCTGCTTTGGTAGTAGATAAGTCATCCAGTGATTTGCATTATTTGAAGTAACTTTTTAAGATAATTAAATCTAGAGCTGAGGGTGATTTCAGTTTAGGGCCAGTAGTAGCATAGGTGACTGGATGAAAACTGGAGACCTCACAGTAACTGAAGGGGATAGTAATAGCCAAAGGTAACCCATGGTGTGGCTAGGCATGGTGGCCCAGACCTAGAATCCCAGCACTATGGATTCGAAGGCAGGAAGATTGTCAGGAGTTTGGGCCTGTCTCAAAAAAAAAAAAAAAAAAAATCATCCACCATTTTAATGTTTTCATTCAACTTGTTTTCCAGTGGGTTGCATCTAGACGGAAGTTCCTGCCTTACACCACACTTTCCTAGTATTCCAATTTCTAATTTTTTTTTGAGACAGTGCTTCCTGTATGCAGGATGGCCTCTATCTCCCTGTGTAAGTGAGGATGGCCCTTCTAATCCTCTGTGATTACTGGTATGAGCTGTCATACCAGTTCATGTGGTGTGGGAGATAGACTCCAGGGCCTCTCTGTATGTTGGACAAGCAGCCTACCAACTAAGTGACATTCTCAGCCCCTAAATTTTCAGATTTTTAACTTAACGTTCCAAAACTGAATCCTAGACACTAAAAGAACTCTGGGATTGAGAAACAACTCACCTAGAACTGTCAGAGAAGCCCTAAGGATTACAGTTTCTCCAGGAAATTCTCTGCTGAGGGTGGGAGATGAAAGTAGGCCACCCACAGTGTGCCCTTGAGGCCAGAGGGACTTGCTGCAGAAGAAAAGACTTGCCTTTGGCAGAAAGCTAAATGTACATATGCTTCTCTCCTGAGTTCCTAACCTAGAAAGAAAAGGGAAAGAGAAGCAAGGAGGGAAAAATATATAGAAAACACTAAAAAAAGCATTAGGTTGAAAGGTCTCACTCTGAAGCCTTGGCTGACTGCCCTTGAACTCCTAGCAACCCCTCTACCTCTCACAGGCGGCCTTTGGTACCACCACACCTTTCTAGAGATCTGTAAAATTCAAGAGTCTGTAAAAATTCTGTTCTAGCTGCTTCCCCTAGAACTGGCATCCTGCAAAGGTTACTGCCTTGGAGCCCCTGAAGGAATGGGGGAGCATCAAAGATTTAGGCAAAGAGAGCAGGGCATGGTGGCTAATGCCCTTAATCCCAAGCACTCAGGGAGGCAGAGACAGTTGGATCTCTGTGAGTTTGAGGCCAGCCTGGTCTACAAAGTGAGCCCAGGACAGCCAAGGCTACACAGAGAAACCTTGTCTCAAAAAAAAAAAAAAAAAAAAGCAGAAAAATTAGACAGGAATGCCTGTCACCTCAGTACTACTTTAGAGTACATCAGTTCATACTAGTAAACCGCAGTATGAAACAGCCTCATTTTTAACTATGTAGGTTTATATTTTAAAAAAAAAAAATGTTATGGAGCTAGTACAAGGAATTTCATAGCCAAGCATGGTGGCACAAACCTGCAATGCCAGCACTCGGGAAGCTGAGCAGAAGTAGTTCCTTGAGTTCAAAGCCAGTCTGGGCCACAGACTGAGACACTGTTTCAAAGAACCAGAAAAAGATGGAGTGTGACAATGGCAGTGGGAGCCAGCATCACTCTGCCAGATAAAGCAGCATGGCTTCTTTCTAGAGACCTCCTGAGTGAGAGAGATTATTGACTGGTGCAAAAAGAGTTTCAGGGGCTAAGTATAAAGAATAAAGCAATACACATAATAATATGTTTATTAGGGAGCTTTCAGTACAGGCTGCATCATAGACACTAAGAGACGGGGAGAGACATGTCAGAGGACAGCAGCATACACTTGGAGTGGCTAGGGCCACTCAGGACAGAGGTCTTCCTAGATGACTCAATAGCAAAGCCTGTAATTCTGGTGGCTTTTTAAGTTGCACTGGCCAAAGGGTTTAAATGATTGAGTAAAATACAGTCAGATGTGATGGTGCATGCCATTATGCTACTGCTTGGAAAGTTGAAGGCAGAATGATCAGAAGTTCAAAGTCATCTGCAGCTACATATAGAGTTCTAGGCTACCCAGGGCCACCTGAGACGCTTTCTCTAACTAAAGAAAGAGAAAGAGCCAGGTATGGTGGCCCTAGACTTGAATTCCAGCACTAGAGAGGCAGGCAAATCTTAGTGAGTTCTGGAATAGCCTGGTCTACATAGTGAACTCCAGGCCAGCCAAGATGAGGGGAATAGGCCAAGTCCACTCCTGTGTAACTGAGGGTTTTTTTTTTGTTTTGTTTTTGTTTTTTTTGCCTTTTAGGAAAATAAAAATAGTTTGACTTTGGATGCAGACATGAAACCTGTACCACTGGCTCCGTGTGTGAACCCTGGCAACCCTGTGTTTTCCTGTATGTTGGACCCCAAGACACTGCACACAGCTACTTCACTGTCCAAACCCCAGATGATTATATACAAAACCAATTCCAGCCAGTACGGGGCATTCTCACCCAAGCCCGAGTTCTTTCCCTGCAAGTACAACCCTCAGGAGCAAGTGTTCACAAACCGCATCAGAGCAACTGGGTTCTATCAAAACAACGGCCTAAACACTGCCCCTGACAGAACCAGAGGCATCGATTTTCCTAATTTTCAACACACTCTATGAAACCATAGCCTCCTGGCACCTGAAGAGAAAATGTCCTTCAGGGTGTTAGCTTAAAGTCTAGAATACCTAATGTGAACAAGAATGATTTTAATGAAGACTCTTACTTAAAAAAGACATGAAGACATGTTCTAAAAACACTTTTAAGAAATAAAAATTTTTAACTGATAACTTACTAAGAGTGACTCCATTTTTTTTCATGTTAGAAGAAGGCTCTCACTTTGCAGTCCTGCTAACCTAGAATTCTCCATTAGTCTAGAAGCACCTTAGCTTCCAGATGTAAAGCACCTTGTCCTATAAACAAACAGGTGTTCAGGGGCAGGAAAGCTGGCTCAGCAGTTAGGTGTAGACTGCTCATTTGGTCCCCAGCATCACGGGAGAAGGGGGAAGGAACTCATTGTCCTGTAATTCCAGCTCCCCAGGGATCCCATGCCTTTGGTCTCTGAGGGCATCCGTACTCGCCCGTATGTACCCACAGACACACACACAATTAAAAATAAAAAATAAACCTTCAAAAGTATACAAAGCTAGACATGCTGGGGAACATTGTACCCTGAGTACTGCAGACTTAGGCATGAGAACCAGAATCTCAGGGCCAACCTGGGCTACGTAGTAAAATTCTTTCCAAAAGCAACAAAACCCACTTGAGGGTACCCCACTTTATAATAAACTAGCCCATGTCTTGCCTATGTCTATACTACCAAAAACCAAATTCAGTCAGATCTCGTGGCACAGGCCTATAACAACCACTCAGGAGGCAGAGGCAAGAGAATAGCAAGTTCAAAGCCAGCCTGATCAATTCAGTGAGGCCTTGCCTCAGACAACTATATGAACTGAAGTTTCCAGGAAAGGTCACACTTCTGTTAAAAGAATTTTAAAGGTTGATTGATTTGGAATGTAACAGATCTAGAAAATAATCTTTGGGGCTATCTCTGGTGCCCTAAATACCCATTCATTCCAGCTCTGTGTCTGAGGTAGTGGCATCCTGTGACTGTGAGGTAGTCATACCTTTGGAAGGCACTAATTCAGCAGGCTACTGGCTTCTACAACCCAGCAGCTAAGAACATTTCAGATGGCATCTGAGGCACATAGTTTTCCTTGATTTACTGTGACCTGCCATTCCCACCAAGGCATTGAAAAGTGCCTGGAATGCCAGGTGGTCATGGAACACACCTTTAATCCTAGCACGTGGGAGGCAGGGGCAGGCGGATCTCAGTTGAAGACAGTCAGGGTTACACAAAGAAATCCTGTCTCAAAAAGCCAAAAAAAAATAAAAAAAGTGTGGATTCATGGGCTTTTTTTGTTCTGTAACTAAAAACATCAGCAAACTATTTTCACATTGGAGCATTTTCTTAGGAGCCTCTTGAATCATTGTTTTTGGCCTAGTTGGTCAAGTTCTTGGCTAGCTTACCCAACGATCATGGATCCCCATAAGCTGCAAGGGACTTTCATCATGGCAAGTGATACGAAGTGTACTTACGAAGACAAAGGAACATGGCCCCCTAGCCTGCTGGCTCGCATGAACCCAGCACACAGGAAGCTGAGGCAACAGGATTGCACATTTGAGGCCACTGGATTACAAAGTGAGTTCCTGACAGGCTGGGACTACAGGGTGAGGCCCATCTCAAAAAGCCAAACACAAGTATGATAGCTGGGCATGGTGGCCCACACCTAAAACCCCCATACTTGAAAGGATAAGGCAGGAGGATTGCCATGAATTCAAGACCAGCCTGTATACATTGCTTCTACCCAGCTAGCCCCTCCTCCATCCAAAATGAGTACAGAGGGGCCAGAGAGGTCGTTCATTAAGTACAGGTATTTGTTCTGGAGCCTACACAGTGAAACAGGAGAACTGACTCCTACAGGCTGTCTTGACCTCCACGCCCACACTGGGTTGCTCAGGGGTACACCTGCGTGTGCGCACACACATACACAAACACAGGAGGACCTGGCTATGGGTCATGGGAATCCAGGTAAAAGGCAATATGGCAGTCCAAGCCTGTAACTCCCTCGCCGGGGCATGGGTGGTAGGCAGACTGCTGGGTCCCCAGCTAGTCTACTGAGCCAAATCCGTGACCTTCAGGTTCAGTGACAGACTCTGTGTCAAAAAAAAAAAAAAAAAAAAAAAAAAAAAACAGCGTGGAGAGCTAGATACTCAGCATCCACTTCTGGCTTTCCCATACACTCACAGATACACACATATGCATATATATATATATATATATGGACATACACAAGTACCACAAATATGTACACATACAAAAAATGGAGTCCATTAAGAAAAAAAAGCAATTAATTTTCCAAAGGTCTTTTTTTCCTGTTGATGTTGTTTGTTTCCTTTGAAAACCAAAACCAAACCACTAGCACTAACCCAACAACTGACTGGTCCAGACAGTACTACATGCCAGGGGCAGGTGGGGAGTTAAAACCAAAACTTCACTCATTATCTCCAAAGCTCTTTTCAATTCACGTCAATAAATATGGGATAAAATAACCTGTGAAACAATAACATCAAGTTTGTTATTTTCTGTAAAGATAAATCATCGGCAGAGGATGTGACTCAGCAGTAGGCTTCCTGGCTTGCACACGAGGCCTACATCTGATCCCTTGCACTGCTATTCCCCACCCCATCCCCACCCAAAAAACAAAAAACAAACAACAAAAACCTTAGCTAAAAATATTAGAGCAGGGGCAATCCCTGAGCGTCCAGACAGAACCTAGCCACTTTGGGCCATGCAGCTGCTTCCTCACCTGTGGTAAGGTCAGGGGAACGAGTCAGTTTACGTCTAGGTTCTTTAAGGTTGTCTCAGGGCTTGCTCTGCTGGATCTGTGGGAAGGTGAGATAAGGCAGCCTGGGTTTGAGGACTAAATCTTACTATGAGTGAGTCAGTATTTCCATGTTAACGTTCAGTCAGTCCCTCCATCTCTGTCCCTTGTCCCATCTCATCTGAGAGAGGGTCTTGTGAGGTAGCCCAGGCTGGTCTTCACTCAAGGCAATCTGCCTGTCTCAAACTCCCAAGTTCTGGGACTCCAAGTGTGCACACCCACGCCCAGCTTAATCTTTAGTCTCTTGTCTACTGGGACTTGTAGGGGCTGAGTCCATAAGAAGAATCTTCTGTAGGTTTTTTTCTTTTATAGCAGAGGGCATATAAATTTATTAGTGAACTCTGAGAGTAGGGGAGTCTTCAAGAAAGGAATCTGCTCCGGCAATTTGAACAGCAGTCGGCACTGTTCTATTGGGTCTTCTGAGCCCAGCTAGTGTGAACTTGCTCCCAGAGGTGGGTCAGGGCTCTGCAGGGACCTGTGAACAGGCAGCTGTGCCTTGCTTACATCCTAGGCCACAGAAGAGGCGCGGCATGCTAGGCTAACAGCCCCTCTTTGCCGGCTTATTTGACGTTACAAGAATACAGTCTTACTAGAAAACCTTTTCTCAGGACAAGGCTGTGAAATACGACTGATATTTGGGTATTATCATAGTATAGGAAACTCATGGAGGTTGCGGATAGAGCCAGCTGGAAGAGCTCTTGCTTAACAAGGCAGGAGGCCTTGTGAAGGCCCTGTCTTCAGATGAGGAAGACGGAATTACGGGAGGCCTCCTGCTGAGGGTGGTGTGTCTGCTCCTGCGGTCCAGCGGGCCAGGCTGAAAACCTCAGCAGAGCCACTGGTACCAACAGTCCACTTGCCACTCAGAAACTAAGATGCTATTTCACCTGTCAAGCAAGGCCAGAAAGACCACGGTCCCAAAGCTGCCACCCTTCCATGAGCAAATCACGAAGCTTTCCTTCCCTGTTTCCTCTCCCTGTCCTTACCTCTCAAGGAAAAGCCATCCTGCAATGACCAACCTGCCCTTGTTTCTGCCTCTCCCAGATTCTCTCCACCGAACCAGCACCCGGGCCCAGCTGACTCTACTCTGAAGTGTTGCCAGATTCTAGAGTCACAGACAATCAAGACGTGTGAACTGAGCTGGGCATGGGGACTGTTAGCACTAAGGAGGCTGAGGCAGGCAGCTCACCATGACTTTGAGGCCAGCCTAGATTTATATAGTGAGTTCAAAGCCCACCTGGACTGCAAAGTGAGACTCTGTCTCCACAAAAAGAAAAAGCCATCTGTAATCTAACCAGTAAAGTAGCACACACGTTTTTACTTTCATTTTTCCCAACTTTGTTTTGATTGCGTGTGTTATGAAATATAATGCAGCGAGGAGGTGCATTGTGGGGCTTGTGCCATGGTGTGAGAGAACCAGGCCTGACACCCTCGAAGGTCTCCAGGAACTAGGCCTAAACAAGGTCACCCAAAATTCACCAGGAACCAATGACCCCACCCCAAGGTCACCAGGAACTAGGCCATAAATTACCAATTCCAGAAACAAGGTCATAAGATTCACTGCTCAAGGAACAGCCTGAGGATAACCACAAGAATGGGAAGGTATCTTATCTCAGGGCAGGGCATCTGTGCTGAGCAGCCCACCGACCTTGTAGTAGAACATTTCAGGCACAGAAAATACCTAATATTCCTGAGGTCTATAGATAGCTGGCTCAATGTATGTTAGTCAATAACTTTGTAACAAGTTTGCTCTTGCTGAATGTCACCCAATCTTGTAACTGTTACACCAGAAATTCCCTGTCCTTCCTCAAACCCCAATAAAAAAAATCTGCCATACAGCTGCTCAGGGCTCTCCTCTTGGATCCACCGCATTGATGATGTTGGAGAGACAGAGCTTAAACCCAAATAAAGCTCTTTGCTCTTGCATATATGGTCCGGCTCCTAGTGGTCTTTGGGGACCTTAATATCTGGGCATAAAAGGTGTACCTCTGAGAAATTACACTATGCAACAGATATGGTACAAAAGAGGTTTATTGGGGAGGGGAGAGGAGTGAGGACCTGGGGAAGAGATAGAGGCAGACAGCCAGGGAGCACAGATAAAGCCATGAGCACGAAAGAGGGGGTAGAAAGAGGGTACAGAGGGAGAGGGGGGAAACACAGAAGGAGAGATCTGGGGTGGCTGGTGGTCCTTTTGTCTGCAGCACACACCTGCAAGTGGCAGGTGATGATGTCAGCAGCTGCTAGGTCCTCGAGAGCAGGCCAGTGGAACTGCCTGTGCACTAACAGTGTTTGTTTTTGAGACAGACTCTACCACAGCCAAGGTTTGGCCTTAGATATGTGTGGACCTTTCTGCCTCAGCCTCCTAAGCTCAGAGGTGTGAATCACCACACCACACCTGGCTCCAGTATGTTTGGTTGGTTGCTTGGTTGGTTGGTTGGTTGGTTAGTTGTTTCACTTTGTTTTGGCTTTGGTTTTTGAAGACCGGGTTTCTTTGTGTAGCCCTTGCTGTTCTGGAACTAGCTCTGTAGATCAGGCTGGCTTTCAACTCCCAGAGGTGCACCTTCCTCTGTCTCCTGAGTGCTGGGATTAAAGGTGAGCACTACCACCGCATGGCTCTAGTATATGTGAGTAATTCCAGCATTGGTAAGGCTAAAACAGGAGGACCACCATGAGTTCCAGGCCAGCCTGAACTACAAAGTGAGACCTGATCACAAAACATCAAAATCTGCAAACTAAATGTTTTAACTTTTGTTGGGATGAAGTTTTTTAAAGATTTATTTTTACTGTGTGTGTGCCATGTGAGTTTGCGCTCTGTTGGAGTAACCTACCCCCAACACATGCTGTATCAACTATGAAGGCGTGCACCTTCATAGTTAATTGTTAATTGCTGTGTAGCAGCCCCAGGTGCTGGTGGGATATGTGATATTGCCATTTCTATAGCCCACAACACCTGCTTTCTGCACATAAATGTTTGTCACCTCCTCACCTGCCTAAAAAGCTATGAACAGAGAGTATCTGAGATTTTCATGTTAAAAGGCAAGCTGTCAAAAGGGGCTGGAGAGATGGCTCAGAGGTTGAGAGCACTGCCTGTTCTTCCAAAGATCCTGAGTTCAATTCCCAGCAACCACATCGTGCCTCATAACCATCTACAATGAGGTCTCGTGCATATGCAGGCAGAACACTGTATAAAAAATAAAAAAAATAAATCTTTAAAAATGAAGGCAAGCTGTCATGGGAGAGGTGACATAGCCCTCAGCCCGGCACTAAGAGATGGGCAGGGTGTATTCCTGCTGCTGACTGGTTCAGAATAAGCTGTGAAACCTCTCCCACTGTGCTAATAAAAGGCCTTTTTGTACAGGAAGGATGGCTCTTGATGAATACGGAGCTGGAGGCTGGAGCTGGGAAAGGAATGTAGTGGGGAGGAGAGCCACACAGTGGGGACAATTGGAAGGGGAGCTGGGTTGTGTCTGCATGGCTAGCTCAGGAGATTGTGCCCTGCAAAAAGACTAACAAGCTTATACTATACAGATGTCTCCATGTCTTTATGATTAAACCCCAAGCAGGACACACCCCCCTCAAAGCAATAGTGCCCAGAGAAGCCAAACACAGGCATCAGATTGTCTGAAGCTGGAGTTGCAAGTGGTTATGAGACACCCAGTGTGGGAGTTAGGAACGAATTTGAGTCTTGTGGAAAAGCTGCGAGTGTTCTTAACCACTAAGCCATCTCACCAGCCCCTTGGTTGGTTTTATTGAGACAGAGTCTTGCTATGTGGCCCAGGCTGCCCTGGAAGGCATTTCCATTCTGTTGGGAGTGCTGGGACTGAGGGCCTGAAACCAAGGCTGGACACAAGGCCTTGCTCAGTTCTGTTTTCAACAACAGATGATAGCTAAGTTCAAAATAAGATTTTGGGACTGGAGAGATGATTCAGTGGTTAAGAACACTGACTGCTCTGCCAGAGGACCTGGGTTCAATTCCCAGCACTCACACAGCAGCTCACAACTATCTGTAACTACAGTTCCAGAAGACCTGATGCCCTCTTCTGGCCTCTACAGGTGCTGTATACACCAGTGATGTATATTCATACAGACAAAACACCTGGACACATAAAAGTAAATAAATCTCTTATAAATAAAATGTTTTCAAATAACTGTTTTTTCTGTTGTTGTTTTGTTTATTTATTCATTTTTTCTTGAGACAGTTTCACTTTGTAGCCCAGGCTAGCCTGCAATTCTACATCCTTTTGTCCAGCACACCCAGGTTTGGTATTCAACACATCATTACACTCTAACTCTAACTGGTCTAGCCTCAAACAACAAATAATATAAAGAAAAAATATGGTTCTGTGTATCTTTAAATGACTAAAAATAGTCTCTATATTATACCAAAGCCAATAATTTAGAATGAAATTCTACATTTAATATACTAAAATACTTTATAAGCACAATCTATTCTGTTGATTCCTCAGTAGTTACCCTGGAGACCCCAACAGCAACAATTTAATTACAAGAGCAAGGGCAGTTCAGCACAGCAACATCAAAGCCCAAGCAAGCCTTGTGCTAAGACCAAGAACTAAAACGGAACATTCTCTGTGTCTTGTTTTGGTCTCAGTGTGTAGTCTGACTGGCGCAGAGCTCCCTTGTAGGAGAGGCTGGACTTGAACTCCAGTGACCTGCCTGCCTCTGCCTTCCCAGTACCTGGATCAAGGCGGCGAGATAGGCCATTCTCACTTTAGACAGGATTCCTCAGCGCTACATTTCCAAAGGCCCTCTAGCGCTTGGCTCTTTGCAGCGAGGGTACTAACAGAGTCTCCTGTGTCTAGTCATGAGCCTTCAGTGCGGTCCCCTGAATTATATTCCGAATCCTCTCCGCATCGTTTTGTACAACTGTGTTGGCTGAGTCGATCTTAAGTGCAGCTTCATAATCTTGCAAGCCTGTATTGACATATCAAGGACAATCCGGATGAGTCGCTCCACAAGGCCGGACAGCAGGCAGCAGAATGAAGGGAAGAGCCTAGGCTAAAGGTTTTGGATATCACACAAGTTTCAGCTCCTAAATCCTTCAACGTTAATTTGGCTGTCCCCTGTCACAGCGAGTTTTGTCTCTTGGTGACTGACAGCCTGCTTAGTTCCTGTTTCTACGTAGTGTGGGGATTGGAGGTCTAAGCGTACCGAGCTTTCCTAGCTGGGTTTCTGGCTAGGCGTGATTAACTAAGTAGCGGGCTGTATCAGGAATGGAATAGAGGGATAAGGACCCCTCAGCTTCCTGGCCAGTGGAAGGTGGATCTCTGGCCTCAGGTGTGTTAAGTGCTTTGAATGGAAGAGTTGATTTGTGCCTTGACATGAGTAGGAAAGCTTTGTTAGGTCTGGGGACCTCAAGAGGTGATTTAAATCTATCCTGAAGGTCCCTTCCTGTGGCATAAAGTCTGATTTCCCAGGTTCTCTCTGTTTCTCTTAAGAAAATTTCCAGGAAGCCTCAGTTTTTCACAACCTCGGTTTTTGCAATGGAAACTCCCTTGTTTCTAGCAGGGAGAGAGCCCAGCTGCAGGACATACATAGAACTGTAAACTCTGTGCTCCTCTCTCAAAAGATAAACTTCTATATCTTTCCTTTCTCTACCACAAGCAGGCACTTAAAGTGGAATCAGTGAGTGGAGGTGAGGATGGACTATGGGTTGCTGGTCTGTAGTCACTCTAGCTAATACCTTCCTTGTATCTGCCTTTCCCAGGTCCAGGCCTGAGGGCGGTGGGGATTACACCATGACCTTATATTCATCACCGCAAGGTAAAACATCAGACTCTGGAGGAGGTAGAGGGGAAGGACTGAAGTGCTTCATAAATACCTGTGTTAGCTAGACACTTTCTTGCTCTTTTTGAAACAGGGTCTCCTGTAGCTTAGAAGGCTTTGAACTTGATAGGTAACTGGAGACAGCATTGAACTTGATCTCCTGTGTCCACCCCCAAGTGCTGGGATTACAGGTGTGTGCCATTGCAAGCGGTTTATATGGCACTATAAACCACAGGGACCTAACACAGGGCCTTATGCATGCAAGGCTGTCACTCTAGTGACAGAGCGACTCCATGCCTCCGTCAATCTCTTACCTTCAACATACAATTCCAGTTGACAGAATGCTGTCCCTCGTCGAACATATGCCTTCATTCTTGCATTGGCATTGTCAGCAACAGGTGGCGTCAGCAATTCTAGTGCCTTTCAAATAATATAGATAATTATGGGCTAGTGAGATGGCCCTGTGGGTGAGGTGCTTGTTCTGCAAGCACGAAGACCTGGGCTGGAACCCCAGCACCGACACAGAAACCCAAGCATGGTAGTGCATGCTCAGGTCAGTGTTTGAGAAGCAGAGACAGAAGGATGCTTAGGGATAGCTGGTAGGCTAGCCAGCCTAGCTGAATCAGCAAGGCCCTGATCCCAGCGAGAGACTATGCTAAAAAAACAAACAACAACAACAAAAAAAACAACAACAAGCCAACAATTTATATGATCTAAAAAGAAACCAAAGAGATGGCTCAGAGGTTAAGAGCACTGGCTGCTTTCTTCCAGAGGTCCTGAGTTCAATTCCCAGCAACCACATGATGGCTCACAACCATCTATAATGAGATCTGGTGCCCTCTTCCGGTGTGCAGGTGTACACGTAGACACAACATTGTATACATAATAAATAAGTCTTTTTTTTTTTTTAAAGATTTTGCCTTTTAAAAGGCAAAAGATTTATATGATCTGAAGAAAAACCAAAGAGATGGCTCAGAGGTTAAGAACACTCTCCTAGAGGTCCTGGTGGCTCATAACCATCTATAATGGGATCAAATGCAGGCAGAACACTGTATTCATAATAAATAAATAATCTTTAAAAAAGGTGGGAGCAATAATTAAAGAAAAAGATCACAAACGTGGTAGGTGGGGGACATGGTAGGAATTGAAGGGAGAAAGAATGGAGAAATGATATAGTTATAAAATCCTCACACACACACACAAGAAGCAAGCATTAGGCTAGGAAAATGGCTAAGATTACTTGCCGCTCTTCCAGAGGACCTGAGTTCAGTTTCCAGCACCCATATTAGGTAGCTGACTACTGTCTATAACTTTAGTCCCAGGGGATTCAGGCTCCTTCTTTGGATTCAGTGGACACTGCATTCATGTGCAAACACCGCCCCAAAAGCATACACATGATTACAAATAAACCCTTAAAAAAGGAAGTAAGTTGAACAGTGCCTGAAGAACAACACCAAGATTGACCTCCTGCCACTACACATGCCTGCACACGCATCCACACACATACTGTATGTGTATGAAACAAAGGGAGTGTGTATATAAAAACAAGGGACAGACAAAAAATTAGGGCTGAGCAAAAACAGTGAAAATTCTAAATTCTTACTTTAAGGCACATGTTAGTCAGACATAATGGTTTGCACCTGTGATTCCTGTACCCACAGCATTACTAAGCTGGCTGTGGTCACAGGCCTGCAGTTCCAGTGCAAGGCCATTCTTCTCTATATACTGGGGTTCAGGCCAGCCTAGGCTATGCGGAACCCTGTCTCAAAAGACAAACAAAAACTAGAAATACAAACAGATCAACCAGCTGGGCCTGGTGGCACATGCCTGTAAGTTGCAGGCAGACTAAGGCACAGAAGGGCAAACTTCAGGCCTATTCAGTGTTAGCTTAGGCAATTGAGAGCTGGACTCGAAGTTATATTGGTAAATTGTCATGTGCTATTTGCATGTATTGAATGCTGACCCAAGCACATTTATTTCAAGATCTTCCAAAACTCCACGTCCTAGGTCAGGTTGCCCCAGCTCTGTCACAGGGAGAAGGGAAACCCCGCTAAGAGCTGAGGCTGTAATTACCTCTGTTCTCAGTACCCCTGAGAATGGCTGGAAGCTGAGCCTTTCCCAGCAGACGGGCATTATTGTTTATCACACAGTAGTGGGAAGGCAGAGCCGGGAGCTCATCCATGAAGCAGACTCTGTGCTCTGCCTGGAACCTCTCAGTCAGGACCCCCAGCCTAACAACCCCAGTAGGACTACCCCAGTCACTGCTGCAGGATGTTGTCAGTGCCTGATGTGATGATGTTTTACTGTCTGCTGCCTCACTTCCTGTCTGCTACTTGCTGATTGTTCTTTCGATTTTGCTCACTACATAACAAGCTCATTCTCTGGAAACACAAAACATGGCTATTGCAGATCATCATCTACTTAGAACAAATAAAAAGGATGAAGAGAACTAGATAAAGAACTCAGTGGTAGAGCACTTACATGGAAGGCAAAGGGCTTAACATTTAACTTCTGGGGAGGGTACCGTGAGGAGCCCCACACCTCACACTGGCTGAGCAGATAGATGCTCTACTACTAGGCTAAGGGCTAAATCAGAGAGCCGACTGCCTCTGCCTCCACAAGTGCTGGGATCACAGGTGTGTGCCACTGCGCCTGGCTCCACTCCCAGAATATTCAGGGCCTGACCTGTCCATGTGAACATGCTGTGTTCTATCACAGATAACTTTTTTTTTTAGACATCAGTAGTTTATTGTTTTAGTAGTCCAAACACATTCAAAATGGAAACTCAAAAAGAAAAATTAGGAAACACTTCATTCATTTTTATGTCATCCTCACACAGCAGCCATGATAATCTTTTTCTGTATCATTCCAATTTTAGCACATGCGTTACTGCTGAACTGAGCAACCAATTGTCTAGTTTGATCTTTTGAGACAGAGTCTCATTTTGTTACCTTGCCTGACCTGGAACTTGCTACATAATCCACACTGGCCTTGAACTCGGTGATCCTCTTCCTTCAATCCACCACAGCTGGCTCTCCAGGATTCTTTTATTTGAGACAGGGTTTCTCTGTGTAGTGTTGGCTGCCATGGACTCACTTTGTAGACCAGGCTGGCTTTGAACTCACAGCTATCACCTGCCTCTGCCTCCCAGAGTGCTGGGATTACAGGTGTGTGCCACTATACCCAGCTTCTAGGATAATTTTAAAGCATCATATATACATATTTTTGTTTGTTTGTTTTGTTTTGTTTTTCAAGATAGGGTTTCTCTGTATAGCCCTGGCTGTCCTGAACTCAAATTCACAGAGATTCACTTGCCTCTGCCTCCTGAGTGCTGGGATTAAAGGTGAGCACTACCACTGTCTGCAAAAATAATATTTTTCAATTAAGTAAATACATAAACATACAACACATACCCAAACAGAGGAATATACATACCTTAGAAGAGTCCTCAATGGCCTTGTGTAAGTTTTTTAGTTTGAGGTGGCAAGCAGCCCGATTCAAATACAATAATGGAATCTTACTGTTTAATCGTATGGCTAAATTATACGCATTAACCGCTGCCAAATAGTTTTCTGTTGCAAACAGTTTGCTAATGAGACAAAAAGAAAAGGGCAATTTAACATTGAGGCAGACACGGAGAAATAACATCTCCCCTACTTGGCAAGCAGAGAGATGGTTTCCCATCTGCCTGGTTTAATTCCCTGTCTGGTAGAGACTGCTGGCTGCACAGACTCCATCTCTCTACATACACCAAGCACGTACCCTGAGTAGGATAGATCCTCCTACCCAAAAGCAGCCATAATTGACTTAGTGCAGCAAGTGTATGTCTATCGTCTTGATTCGGGAATTTATTTAGGGGTAGGAAAGGGGTTTAAACTGGCCTGAATGAAGCTGGTGAGTTCCAACTCAAGTTGGAGAGTGAAAAGCTGATAAAACTTCTTCCCCTGCTGGACATGAATGAAGAAAGCCCACAGCACAAATGTTGCTGCTCATTTTTAAACACAGGAGAAAGCAGTTACATGAAAGCTGGTGCAGAGAGAGCAGGAAAGGAACGAGAAACAGAGGGAACAGCACTCCATGACACAGGGGAGCTGCTACGAGCTTGACACCTGTGTCAATACACCCTCAACACAGAGCCACTACCAGCCAGCCTGCAGGTGCAGCAGACCTGTAACCCCAGCTACAAGATCAATGTTTGATTGGCCTACACAACAAGCTGAAGGCCAGCTTGGGCAACTTAGTGAGACCCTGTCTCAAAATAAATAAGAGCTGCAATCCCATCACCTGAGAGGGAAAGGAGGGCCTGGGGTTTAAGGCTTTGTTTGGCTACAAAGCAAGTTCCCTAGACTGTGCCATGTGAGCCTCACGTCAGAACAAACAATAAATGAAATAATAAAAGGTGGGGAAGGGCAGGAGGTAGAGCCCAGTGTTATAGCACTTGTGTGGATAGTGAGGCCCTTGATTCAATCCCCAATACCACAAAAATCTATCAGATATACAGACAGACAGAGTGCACAGGCCAGCCAGCCAACATCAGCGCATCTTAGTAAAGGGACACATGCCACCTCAATTTAGCACTCAGAATTAATAGGGGAGAAACATTTTAATTATGATTTTAAAAAATAACATGGACATGGTGCTGAAGGCCTGTAACCCTAGGAGTTAAGAGGCAGAAGCAGGAATATCACCCCAAGTTCAAGGCCAGCTTGGTCTATATAATGAGTTACAAGCCAGCAAGGGCAACATGTGGGCTGTCTTTTTCCCATGGAGTACTGGAGAGAAAAAGGAGCCCATGGGACAGACAATTAGACACATACATTTTAGTCAACAATAGAATGTTATCCCCAAATAGTCTAAAACCATAAACACACCCACAGCTTCCACAAACAAAAGTCAGCCAGTGCCACCTTTCTCTGATCAAGCAGCACATAGTGGTACAGACGGGTAGAAAGAGATGCACTGTGAGCAATGGAACTACGGAGGTCCTGGGGTGCTGAGCTCCATCAGCCTGCTAGATACCAAGAAAGCACTCGTATAGGTCTAGCTCAAGCTCCAAAGTCCAGAAACCTGGGGATCCAAGGGCTCAGTGCATGACACATGTGAAGGCTGGAGTGCCAGGAGTACTGATATGCCAGTTCAAGAAGCGGAAATCTGCCTGGCAGTGATGGCACATGACTTTAATCCCAGCACTCTGGAGGCAGAGGCAGGTGGGTCTCTGTGAGTTTGATGTCAGCCTAGTCTACAGAGCTAGTTCCAGGACAGCCAGGGCTACATATAGAAAACCCTGTTTCAAAAACAAAAGCAAAAAAAAAAAAAAAAAAAAAAACAACCCCCCACCCCCCCAAAAAAACAAACCAGAAACCTAATAAAACAAACTCCCTTTAGGTTTGAAAGTACATGCCAATAACTGTAGCACTCAGGATGTGAGGCAGGAGGATCATTGTGAGTTCAAGACCAGCCTAGCCTACATAAGGAGTTCCAGGCCAGCCAGGGCTACAAAGTGAGAGCTTGTCTCAATAAAACCACTTGGTCCTCTTTTGTAGTGTACATAATAGATTTTTCCTACATGAAAAAAAGTCAGAAAAAAAAAAGGAAGAAGAGTGAAGTTTCCCTCTTCTGTTTTTTGTTAACACACTCTAACTATCAAGTACTGCAATAGAACAGGATAAGCTATAAAACACAATCAATGGAAGACAATCACACCTACATCTGAGAGGCCATCTTGTAAAGCCAATTCTAACATACTCCTATCAGGAAAAACAGCATGAGAAAACTGGCCTGTTTCCACAAACCCAGTTTGTTTCAATGCAGTAGCAAAGGCGGGTTTCCTGGCCCTGTTCTGAAAGTGTATAGGCACATGGGTAAAAAGGCAATTCTCAAACTCTGAGTGGTGGCTCACGCCTATAATGCCAGCACTTTGGAGGCTCAGGCGGGAAGACTGCCACCAAGTTCAAGGCAAGAGCCCCTGGCTCAACAAAATCCAAAGACAATTCTCCATAGATCTCCTGTGACAATCTCATGGTTGTGGTTATTTGGGGGAAAGGGATCTTCAGGCTGGAGTCAGGACCTCACACGTAACACGGGGGAGGCCTGCTGCCACTGTGTACTCCCAGCCTGGCACTATTGTTTAGAAGATGCTTATGTGGCAGACAGCTGTGGTAGAGAGAGAGTCTCTTTGGAAGCAGTGGACAGATTGACGTGAGATAGTAACTTTACTGCAACCTTTTGACACAGAACTGTGATCCTTATGCCTGGCTGTGAGTGTCACACCTGCCGGGCTGCCTCTGGACTGGCTCCGCAGGACTAGACAGCAAAGGGAATAGGCATGAAGTGTATGTTGCTTGCTTGCTGTTGTTCCTTGGGAGCCATCTGTTTTTTTTTGGTGGTTGGTTTTGTTTGTCTTGAGACAGGGTCTCACTATTATAGCGCAGCCTGGTCTGGAACTCACTATGTAGCCTGGCCCAGCCTCGGATTAAAGGCCTGTACGTCACACCCAGACTCACCATGCTGTTCAGAGAGGGTCTCTCCCTGAGACCTGGGGTTCCTGATCAGGCTAGTATGACTGGCCAATGAACCTCAGAGATCCACCTGTCTCTGCCTCCCAGAGCTGGGAATAAGAGCCAGCATCACAATCTCTAGCTTTTTACCTGGAGGAATTCAGGTCCTCAGGATTGCATCTCCCTCACCCTGTATTTTGTTTTTATGTGTACAAGTGTAATGCCTTATTTGTGTATATGTGTACACATATATATCTGGTGCCTGAGGAAGTCAGAAGAGGAACTCAAATCCCCTGGAACTTGAGTAACAGACAGCTGTGAGCTGCCAGGTGCTAGAAACCAAATCTGGGTCCTTTGTAAGATCAGTCAGTGCTCTTAACTGCTGAGCATCTTTCCAGATTGGTATAAGTAATTTTGCTTTGTTTTGTTGTTTTGTTTTTCAAGACATGGTTTTTCTGTGTAGCCCTAGCTGTCCTGGTACTCACTTTGTAGATGAGGCTGGCCTTGAACTCAGAGATCAACCTGCCTCTGTCTCCCAAGTGGTAAGATCAAAGGCATGATTTTAGCCACTACCACTCGGCACAATTTCTAAAAATGATTTATTTATTCACATATTTTATGCACATGAGTGCTATGCCTTCATGTACACCAGAAAAGAGATCAGATCACAGATGGTTGTGAGCCACCCATGTGGTTACTGGGAATTGAACTCAAGACCTATAGAAGAGCAATTGCTCTTCGCCACTGTGCCATCTCTCCAGCCCCATCTCAGCACAATTTTTAAGGCAGCTTTTCTTTTTAAAATTAAGACATAGCATTTAAAAAGACCATGTAGGGAAAAATGCAAACATTTCTTAGTTTTGCTAAGAATCTACTCCTGAGGTGGCAGAGTTCCATAGCAGCTGTTCTTGGGAAAGGCCTGCCTATTTCTACCCTTTTGTAAAACCAACATCCCATAGTCCCACAGGGTTAGGCAGGAGAATATCTGCCATTCTGGGCTATGTGTCTAGTGCTGGGCATCAACTCCAAGTGTCAGAGCAAGACCCTGTCAAGAGAAGGGAAAAAAGCCGCCTCCTGGCAAGTCCACCCGGCCCTGTTCTCACCCCACAAGCTACTCTGCGTGTTCCCACTCATTTCTGTTCACACCCATTTCTTCTCTCTCAGCTTTCCTTCACAGCTCAGTGCAGGGGGGTGATACTGGGGTGCAATCAGTGTCCTCGGCATGGGCCAGGCTCTGCTGTTCACTACCCACACTACAAAGGGGGAAAAAAAAAACCCACAATTCCCTATTTCCTAGTCTAACTGTGTAGCCCTGGCTGGCCTAGTCTCTGCCTCCTGAATGATGGATGCAAAGGGCTGTGCTAACACCTGTTTTTTGTTGTTGTTTTGTTTTGTACCTTTTTTTTTTAAGAGTCCCTTTTCCAAGGCTTTCCTCCAATTCCATGCATATCCCAGTTGACCTTAAACTCCAAATCCTCCTATCTCCTCATTCCAAATGCTAGAATTACAGGTGTCAATCACACCCAGAGTGTGGAGTGAAAAGGATGGAAGCCTGGACTTTGTGTATGCCTGGCCAGCACTCTGTCTACCCAACCACATCCCCAGCCTCAGGCAATTTACTGCATTTAACTGTCACGCCACCAGACTTCTTAGCTATGGAGCTCCACCCACCTGTCCTCGTTAGGGTTCTGGTGCTGTGATACACACCATCGCCAAAGCAGTTTGGGGAGGAAAGGGTTAATTTCACTGCCACCTTGTGCTCGGTCATCCAGGGCAGAACCTCAAGGGAGGAACCTGGAGGCAGGAACTAGTGGAGGATAGATGCTTACTGGCTTGCTTTTCAAGGCTTTCTCTTCACACCCAGAACCACCCGCCCAGTGGTGGCAGTGCCTACAGTGGCCTCGACCAAAAGATGCACCACAGATTTGTTCACGAACCACTCTGGTAGGGGCATGCTTTTCAGCTGAGCTCCTCTCTTCCTAAATGACTCCAGCTTGTGTCAAGTAGACATAAAACTACCAGCATATGAACGATCTCTTCCCAAAAGTGCACAAGCACACACGTAAACTCGAGGTCCCTCTACCTCTGGAAGGCGGTGAGCCTACCGTAGAATGCAGAACTCACTCAGACAACTCACTTTCCCTTTTCTTTCAGCCAGTCTGGATTCTTCTCTTCTTCTTTCAGGTCGCTGAATTCGGGAAGATCGGTGCTCATGGCTCTCCGGGCCTCTGCTTGCTTATGCAGCCACTGCAATGAGAATGTGTGGTGATGGACACCGTCTGTGCCGGGCCGTGTGGTCAACCCAACAGTACCTGGAAGTCACCTGAGAGAGGGGCCTCTAGCATGCCTGGGTGAAGAGCCTCTTCTTAACTGTGGATGGAGCCATGCCCTGGATAGGGGCTCCTGGACTGTGTGCTTGGAGAGAGGTGTAGGACAGCATTTAAGCACGCACTCACTCACTGATCGGCTCCTTCAGGCTGCTGCTACCCTGCCTTCCCCACCAGGACAGACTGCACCTTGCACTGTGAGCTGCCATAAGCCCTTTCTCCCTTAAGTTGCTTTTGTTGGAGTATTTTTATCACAGCAAAAGGGAGGTAGGGGCAGGTGGATTTCTGAGTTCAAGGCCAGCCTGCTTTACATACTGAGTTCTATGCCAGCCCAGGCTACACAGGAGATCCTGTCTCAAAAGTAAAGAAATAAAATAAAATAAAGGGAAAAGAAATTGAGACGCTACATTTGTCAATTTTCTATTGCTATTCAAATTTCCTGAGGCTGACATTTCATAAGGAAAGGGGGTGCTTATATTGCTCAGTTTGAAGGTTAAAAATCCAAAATTCTAGATAATTTCACCTAGCAGATCCTATTGTCAGCCTTTTAGATGTATTATAGCATGACAGATGGAGTCATGTAGCTGCAGCACATGTGAGGCGATGAATGATGTGTGTGGAAGAATGCTCTCACATGGTGACGGAGAAAGCAGAGAGGGGGAAGGGCCAGACTTGCTCATCTTTAACAACCTGCTCCAGTGGAAAACAGTCCCTTCCTGAGAAGAGGATTAACATCCCAAGGGCTGTGTCACCAGGAGCTAAGCCCACCACTTGAACCACTGTGTCTACTGCCTCTGAGCCAAGCCTCATACTCTGAGTTACTTGCTGAGGCCGGAGGGCACAGTTCAAGTCCTGCCTGGGCTACAGGGAAAGAGCTACCATCTCTAAGTTCCTGTACATTATTACATTACACAGTGAATCTTTGGGAGATGTGTTCAATTCTTAAGTGGCATGTTAAAGGTCTCCAGCCAGTGGCACTACTGGGAGATGGTGGAGCCTTCACAAGATGGTGAAAGGAAATCAGGTCACCAAGAGATGAGCCTGAGGAGAACATCAGAACCCTGGTCCCTTCTCTTAACTTCTTGGCTGCTGGTCCTGAAGCAATGGGACTAAGCAAAGCCCAAAAGCACAAGGTGAAGTAAACCTTTCCTCCTCGTAAGTGCTTTTCTGAGGCACTTTGTCACAGTGGCGAGACACTGCCTACCACAGGGCAAAGACCAGCCCAGCCACAGAAGACACAAAAGTCTCCTTAAAAACTCTATTTATGGCAGGGCGTGGTGCCGTGTGCCTGTAATCCCAGCATTCTGGGAGGCAGAGGCAGGCTGATCTCTGTGGGTTTGAGACCAGCCTGGTCTACAAAGCAAGTCCAGGACACCCAAGACCACGCAGAGAAACCCTGTCTCTTTTATTTATGGGCCAGACATGGTTGGGCATGTCTTTAACCCCAGCTCTCAGAGGTTTCAGAAGTGGATCTCTGTGATTTCCAGGCTATCATGGTCTACATAGTAGGTACCAGGCCAGCCAGGGCTACATAGTGAGACTGTCTCAAACAAAACCACACAAAACAAAGTTTATTAATTAGTATGTGTATGTATGCTTGGGAGATGTGCACATGTCTCAACACACGTACAGAGGCCAGAGGAGAACTTGGTAGAGTTAAGTCTTTCCTTCTAAGAGGTCTTGTTTTTATTAACAATCACTCTTAGATTTCTCACTTTTTCCACCAGGCAAAAATGTCATTTGGATCAATAGGCTGAACAGTTTGTCAAATGGCAAATACACATGCTGAAGGTGAGAGACAGGTGCTTGGGGGAAGCCATGGAGTTTAGATAATGCCATAATGGCCTTCGTCTCCTCAGAAGAGAAAGAGATCAAAGCCTGCCTTCATCAGCGCTACGAGGAGACACAGTATGAAGGTGCCAGCTGTGAGACAGGACAAGGCCTCACCAAGAGCTCCCCTGCCAGCCCCTGATCAAAACACTGAGAAATGAATGTCTGTTCATTCAGCTCCTAATTTTACAGTGGTCTGATCAGATAAACCCACTGTTTGATAGTGGTTTTAAAATTTCAGTATTTATAAACTCTTAAACCTTTTTTTTTTTTTTTTAGGACTCTTAACTGGTTGAGAATGGATAGCTACATGTTTCTGGTCCAGGGCTAGAGTGATGGCTCAGTGGTGAAGGAGTGAGTAACACATCCGCAGCGTCCACATCAAGTGGTTCACAACTGCCTCTAACTCCAGCTCTGGGTGACCTCATGCCTCCGGTCCTCCAGAGCACCTGCACCTGGCCACGTACCCACACCCAGGTGCACAAACATACACACACGTTTAAAAACAGTAACAATTCTTTTAAAAGTATCTAGTCCAAACTGGGAATAATATATATATATATATTTCACTTTTTAAGACAGTTTTTGTTTACTTTTTGCTCTTGTTTATTTGTTCTTTATTATTATTATTATTATTATTATTATTATACAAATTCTGTCCACGTAGCTTTGGCTGTCCTGGGACTTGCTATACAGGCTGGCCTCAAACCTTCCGGCCTCTGAACTCCTGAACAGTGGAATAAACACACCTGGCTTAGGCGGACTTACACCATACCCCAGGTGGCACGCACTAAGTCTTGAGTTCTATTGACAGGACCACTAAACCCAGACAGCGCACAGTGCAGGCTGAAGTGAGAGATTCACAAGGTCATGACCAACTTGGATTAATAGTGAGTTTCAAGCCAGCCTGAGCTACCCTGTCTCAAACACTGCATAGGCCCTGTCTCAAACAAACAAAAAACACTAAAACAAAATGTGCAACACAAAACAAAGAAAGCCAAACCCTATTTCTTTTCTTTCCTTTCTTTTTTAAGACAGGGTTTCTCTAACTGCCCTGGAACTCACTGAGCAATAGTGGAATCATGAGGGCCTTCCCCCAGCGGGGAAGCTAACTGAAGTGGTGACTGCCTAACTGATGCCGTGGCCCACCTCCTCCTCCTCTGCGACTTGGGATTCGCGAAGAGCAGTTGGGAATATTCGAGGGGTAAAGCTGATTTGAATACTGCTGGCAGAGCGAGGCGCAGGAATGCTGTCTTCCTTTAACTTTTCAGAAAATATGTTTTCCCAATTCTTCCCTGCAAAAAGCAAAGGGATCAAACAAGCCGTTTATTTCTCATTTCTAACTAACACATTGACCTCTAAGATTACTATACACCAAAGCTAACTCTAAAATTAATAACAAATAACAATAATAACAAAGAAACAAATAACATAATAAAAATAAATACTAAAAATTAACAACCACAAAAACCAACAAAATAAATCAAGGCAAGGATAGGAAGTGAGATAGGTCAGAGCGTAAATTCCTAGCTGTACGAACCTGGTGACTTGACCTCTTCAACGTAGAAGGGGCTGGGTGTCAGCAGAGCACTCAGGGGCAGAAGCAGGCTAATCTTTGTGAGTTTAAGGCTAGACTGTTCTACATAGAGATGTTCAGGCCACCAAGGGCTATGTCGTGAGCAGAGTGAGGCCTTCTCTCTCTCTCTCTCTCTCTCTCACACACACACACACAAGTTGGGAGGAGGGGAAAAACGAGACACAGAGTTGTCCTCTAACTTCCACATGGACACTGGGACACACGCGCCACGTCATACACAAATACTACTGCTACTAAGATAAACCAAAGATGTTCTCTGCGACAAGGACTAGACATTCAGGGTTAGCATGGCAGCTAGTCTAATCCTTTGGTTTGTTGGTTTGTTTGTTTGTTTGAGACAGGGTTACTCTGTGCAGCCCTGGCTGTCCTGGAACTTACTCTGTAGACCAGGCCGGCCTTGAACTCAGAGACCTGCCTCTGCCTCCTGAGTGCTGAAATTAAAGGCATTCACCACTAGGGCCACGCAGCTAGTCTAGTCTTTAATCAATAACCCGACTGTTCTGGGGTTCATTGTTGAGTCTCTGTCTAGTTCATATCAACTGGGAGTAATACTAGGCAAACCCTTTACTGGCATCCCTCCTACGGCTACAATTCCTACACCCACAGCAGTAGCTCTAGTCACTTCCTGGACACCTAAGAAAATGGCAACAATGCTAATGAAAGGCAAACATTCTTATAAAGGTGCTCAGCAGGTTCAGCAATTGTTAAACTGAAATGGGAAGAGGAACTAAGCCGAGTGCTCGGGTGTCTATAAAGACAAGGAAAAACAGCAGGCCAGTGGTGGCGCATGCCTTTAATCCTAGCACTTGGGAGGCAGAGGCGGGCAAGCTCGCTAAATTTGAGCCCAGCTGGTTCTACTGAATGAGTTCCAGGACAGCCAGGGCTACCAAGGAGAACCTGTCTTGAAAAACCAAAACAAAAACAAGGAAAGACAGCTGTTACTTAGAATCACTAAAACACATAAGTAAGACACACAGACTTAAAGACAACAGTAAGGGCTGGAGAGATGGCTCAGGGGTTAAGAGCACTGTCTTCCAGAGGTCCTGAGTTCAATTCCCAGCAACCCATGGTGGCTCACAACCATCTATACTCTCTACTGCCCTCTTAGAGCACTAATATGCATAAAAGAAATAAATAAAATCTTTAAAGACAACAGTAAAACAGGTGGGGAAAGAATTTTAAGAAAAAGACTCACACTATTATACTTTTGAGAAAGGAGTACATATAAGTAAGAAAAGATGGAGCTGGAGAGATGGCTTAGCAGTTAAGAGCATGGACTGTTCTTCCAGAGGACCTGGGTTCAATTCCCAGCACCCACATGGCAGCTTACAGCTGTCTGTAATTCCAGTTGCAGGGGATCTACATCTGCCCAGATCTTAAGGTCCCCAAAGACTACCAGGACCATATATGCAAGAGCAAAGAGCTTTATTTGGGTTTAAGCTAGGTCTCCCACTATCACCAATGTAGTGGATCAGAGAGGGGAGCCCAGGGCACCTGAACAGTAGGGTTTTTATTGGGGTTTGAACAAGAACCAGGAATTCCCAGCTTAGCAGTTGCACAGTTGAAAGACATTCAGCCAGGGCAAGGTTGTTACAAAGTGATTGGCTAACTAACATGACATTGAGCTAGCTATTTATAGACCTCAGGGATGGTTGGTATTTTCTGTGCCATGATGTTCTAATACAAGGTCGGTGGGCTGCCTAGCCCATATGCTCCACACTGAGATAAGATACCTTCCTATTCCCATTCTTGTGGCTATCCTCAGGCTGTTCCTTGGATAGGGAACTCTATAACCTTGTTTCTGGAATTGGTGACCTCTGACCTAGTTTGTGGTGGCTTGGACGGAGTCACTAGTTCCTAGTGACTTTTGGGGGGGGTGTCAGGCCTGGTTTTCTCACATTCAGGCAAGACACAAGTACACAAAAAATAAAAACAAATCATTTTTTAAAAGATAGAAAGAAGGAAGGAAGGAAGGAAGAAAAGGTAAGGACATTTTCAGCTATTTTGGGCATTTAAGACAGCCTTGGACAATGTAAGACACTGTCTCAAAAAATTGTGTGTGTGTGTGTCTCAGATTCAGTTCAGGCTCTATAAGATTGCCTAGAAAAATACAAGGCCCTGGATTTGGTCCCCAGCATTGAGGGGAAACAAATTTGCTTGAGGTATGGTGGTGCATGCCTAAAATCCCAGTAATAGTGAGGTGGAGGCAGGAGGATCAGAAGTTCAAGGTCATCTTCAGCTATGTAGCAAGTTTGAGACCAGCCTGGGCTACAGGAGATCCTGCCTCAAAACAAATAGAAACAAAGCAGGAAAATTTGTTGTTTGCTTTTCTTTTTCCCTGATTCCTTCCTTGGACCAATTGTGTGGCTCCTTTCCTCCTACCCTCTCTTTCACTTAACAAGTTCCCAGTGTCTACTATGTGTTTTGTTGTTGTTTCCAGTGTTTTTCCATAGAAATATCTACACTAGGTATTTCTGGAATGTACAAAATGACTACCATGTGCCCGCTGAGCCAGGCATGATAGGGAATGCTTATTATCTAAGCATTTGTGGTTGAGGCCAGAGGCTCACACAGTCCAGGAAGCCCAGACCCACACAACAAACCCTGCCTCATCCCTCAGACAAGCTCTCTTCTTTTCAAGAAAAGAGCACGGCCTATGCCTGCAGAAAAAGATTTTTAAAAGAAAGAGAAAAAGAGAGGAGGCACCATACCTCTTGTGGGGACTCGAGCAGGCACAACCTTCCTGGGCAAGCCCTGGGGTTTCAGCGTTCCCCTCTCTTCAGCTTGCTTCCTCTGTTGACATTTCTCTTTCTTCGGGATTCTTTTTGGCTCTTCAGCTTTTCTTTGACATTCTTTCCATGCTTCCAATTCTCTAGTTGCTTTTTTCCGTTCATTTTCTTTCATATCTTCTATTTTTTTCCTCTCTTCTTCTTCAATCTGTAAAAATTGTAATTAGCAAGTCCTTTAAAACACCTAAAAAGTCTTTCTGCTGGGTGCCGGCTACCTGCTGTCAAAATGGGCAAGTTCATGAAACCCGGGAAAGTGGTGCTGGTCCTGACCTGACACTACTCCAATGCAAAGCCATCATCATGGAGAATATTGATGATAGTACCTCAGACCATCCTTACAGCTATACTCCGTTGGCTGGAATCAACCGCTATCCCCAAAAAGTGACAGCTACCGTGGGCAAGAAGAAAATCGCCAAGAGATCAAAGACCAAGTCCTTTGTGAAAGTTTATAACTACAATCACCTCATGCCCACAAGTTACTCTGTGGACATCCCCTTGGACAAAACTGCTGTCAACAAGGATGTCTTCAGAGACTGGGCTCTGAAACACAAGGCCAGGCGGGAGGCCAGGAGGCCAAGGTCAAGTCTGAAGAATGATACAAGACAGGGAAGAACAAACGTTTTTTTCCAGAAGCTTCACTTTTAGGTATATTTTCATTTCCATCATTAAAAATTAAAAATAAAACATTTAAAAAGTGACAGCTGTGTGTGTGTATGCATGTGTGTGCTGTGTGCTTGTGTTCATGTGAGTGTCTGCACCTTGAGATAGCACAGGTTTTAACTTGCCCAGAAACAGTGGGTCCTCCTGTCTCCTCAGCACATCTGTGTGACAGGTTCTTTCTTCTGAAGATGGCTGCTCTCCTGATAAACTGCAGGGCACCAAATGGCAAATGGATGTTTCCCACAGTGGCCCTTCTCCCCCCTGTGCTTCATACAGGAGGCTCAGTCCTGGGGGGGGGGGTGACATGTGACGTGTGGACAGTTCACAGATCAGTTGCCAAGCTAGGGGTGTAGCTCAGTGGCTGAGCATTTGTCTAGCACTTGGGACAATCTGGCTTTGACTCCCCAGCACTGAAGTAAAAGATGGGTGACCAAATGGGTTATCCTGACTGGGACAATTCTAGAGGATGACGGGAGTTCTCTTTTTGCTTGTTTGGTTCTCATTTTGTTTTGATATGGTGTTGTTAAGAAGCACAGATCCTGCCTCAGCCCTCAGAATGCTAGGATTATGCTACAATACCTGGTTGACTTTGACTTGTTTGTTTGTTTGTTTGTTTTGTTTTTTTGGTGGGAGAGGTATAGGCAGGGTCTCACTATATAGCTCTGACTGGCCTGAAACTCACTATGTAGATCAGGCTGGTCTTGAACTCAGAGTTCGGCCTGCCTCTGACACCTGAGTGCTGAGATTAAAGGCAGGTGCCACCACACCCAACTTTTCCTTTTCAATTATTTCTGTGTGTGTGTGTGTGTGTGTGTGTGTGTGTGTGTGTGTGTGGTGCGCGTGCACAGACATGGCCCATGTTTGTGTGCAAATCAGAAGACAACTTGCAGAATCAGCTCTCCCTTCCACCCTGTGTCTCAGGGCTGGAACTCTGGTCATCAGGCTTGGCAGAAAATGTAGCGATCATTATCAGCCCAGGACCCCCAAGAGCAAGTTCTCAGCACAAAAGAGATTTACTTGCCCCAGAGGGGCAGATGGCAGGGAAAGAGAGACAAAGAAAGGAGATAGAGGACAAAGGAGAAGGGGAAGAGATATTTGTTCCAGAGGGGAACAACGACTGTTTTTGGATAGAGGAGACAGGCATGTCCCTTAGGCAAATGGCCAGTTTAGAAGGGTTGGGTAAGTTAGGTGAAGCAAAGGTGGCTTTTGATTGCTGGATGTCAATACTTTGATAGCTTGACCTTGGAGGTCAGCCTCAGGAGGAAGTGGCTAAATAAGAGAAAAGACTTTGGAGGCTAGCTTTAGGAATGTAATTTAAGTTCTTCTCCTTCTTCTCCTTCTTCTCCTTCTTCTTCTTCTTCTTCTTCTTCTTCTTCTTCTTCTTCTTCTTCTTCTTCTTCTTCTTCTTCTTCTTCT